TTTGGGTCTAGATGGCGCTGTGCTAATTGTCCTGAGATTATTATTATTAATTTTAATAATAATAATAAAACTCTTTATTATGCACTCGGATGAAATAATAAGAAAATACAGTTAATAGTAAAATAATTACAAAAAGCGGCCTTATCGCTAAAAGCAATCTCTTGACAACCTAGAAGAGAGGACTTATGTACATAGAATAGGGTAGGTGGCACACATAAGATAATATAGAGGATAAATATATAAACCTACATATATACAAATTCAAATTCAAATTCAAAAATCATTTATTCATGTAGGACATTTTAGCCGCTTATGACCGTCAAATTTTTACATTCTAATTTTATTTTTTTTCCCTACCATCCAGTTCTGTATATAGATCCAATTGAGAAGAACTGGCAAGAAACTCAATTGAATTACTTTTTTTTTTAAAGCCAGTTTATTTACAATGTATATTTATATAGGTGTCTATGTCTAACATTAAATGAAAATTCAGTGCATGAACAACTATTGCCATGCACACTCGTCATTCAAGTAATCGTTTAGTGAGTAATACATAATAATACATAATACATATAATGATATTTTCAGGGTTTCTTTATAAAATAAACTAAAATTTGTTTCTCTGTAAACAAAGAAATGTTTTATTTAATTTTAAACCACTACAATTATTTAACACTGTAATAATGAATCACACATATAACTCACCTGTAAACAAAGAAACGACATTTAAAGTTTATTACAATTATTATTTAACTATTACTGTCTTTTTATAATATATTTTATATAACCTTATTCACGCACACTTGTTTTTTCACGATCCATTTTTATGTTATTTCTATTGACAGCTCCCTTTGACACTCCTTGCAATCAACAGCGCGGAACGCGCCAAAATTTGAATTGTTGAAATATTTAATTATATTATTATAAAGAATTTCTTTATATCTCCCCACCAGGGGTGAAAATTTCTCATAGAATTTTTTATAATGTATTGTCTTCATCATGTGCTTCACTATCTGTTTGAATAGGTTGTAATTTTGTTATATGAAATAAAGTAGATTCAGCTTTCTTGTTTCCAGTGTTAATTCTGTAAATTGAGTTTGAAATTTTTTCCACTATTTCAAAAGGACCAATTTTCAATTCATCTAATTTCTTTCTGTTTAATTTGTTTCCGTTTTCTACATATACTCTGTCTCCTATATTAAATTCACATGGCTTTCGGTTTTTATCAAATATTTTCTTATTGTAATCATGTGATCTTTTGGTGTTCTCTAATGCTAGTTTTTTGTCTTCAATCCACTGATCTTCTTTTTTAGAACCTTCAGTTCATTTGGTAGGATGGTAACATTTGTGCCATCTAGTAAATATTTCGGAGCAAATCCTGTAACTGAATGTTCTGTCTCATTATATTTATCTATACATTCTCTAGCTACTGTAGTCCAAGTTTTTTTATTCTTTTTTTCATTTATTCTACACCTTATTTTATTCACTATGGTTTGATTTAATCTTTCATTCAGTCCATTCGAAAATGGTGTATTTACCGCAGTAAATACTAATTTAATATTATTTTCCTCAAGGTACTGTTTAAATTCTCTAGAGTTAATTCCAGGATATTGATCTGTTAGAATCATTCCAATTTCATCTGTTTCCAGTACATACTTCACTAATTTTATAAAGTCACATGCACTCTGTGTTTTTGATGTTACAATAAATGCAAATCTTGTAAAATGATCTACCAAAAGATGTAGATATTTTTTTGTAGATCTGGATCCCCCAAAACCACCAATTGTATCTATAGACATGATTTCAAATGGTTTCGTTGCTGGTCCCAGATGTGACATATATCCAAATTTTCCTTGTCCTCTTGATTTGTTTTTTATACAGGTTTCACAGTTTTTACAAATATTTATTATGTTTCTTGTTAAATGTTTCGCTGTATATATTGGGCTTACTTTCCTTTGTAACTGCCTGATTCCAAGATGGCATAAATCTTCATGTATTTGTTTTATAAGTTTCTTGCTAAATTCTTCAGAGAGAATAATTTTATACTGTTTTTTAATTTTTTTGTAATATATTTGATTTTTCTGTATAAAATTCTGTTTATTTATTTTTATTATTTCATTTTTATCTTGATCTGTCATTATTTCTTCTATTTTGATTAAATTCACTATTTTTAAAATCTCTTCTTTGTTAGATTCTGATTCTAATACAGGGTTTCTGCTTAAGGCGTCTGCTTCTAAATTTTCTTTACCAGGTATATATTTTATTACAAAATCATATTGAGATAAATAGTATGTTAGGTCCCCTAATTCTTCATCTGTTCTAGCCTTTATATTCATATTTTCAAGAGGTTTGTGGTCTGAGTAAATAATAAACTTTTTTCCAATAAGCCAGTGTTGCCAGTATTTCACAGCTTCTTTTATCGCTAAACACTCTAGGTATATTGCCTTTTTTCTTTTTTGAACTTCATTTAGCTTTTTTGAGAAATATGCCACTGGCTTATCTTTACCATCTGGTTGTGTTTGTTTCAGTATTGCCCCAATACCTTCTAAAGATGCATCTGTATATATTTTTATTGGTAAACTCTTGTCATATATTTCTAATACTGGTTGACAGCATAAATACTCTTTTATCTGTTTAAATGAATTTTCACATGTTTCTGACCAAACAAACTTCTCGTTTTTTCTTAATAATTTATGTAATGGATCTAAAATTATTGCGCTTCTCGGTATATATTCATGATAAAAATTTATTTTCCCTAGGAATTGTCTAATATTTTTCTGGGTTTTAGGTGTTGGAAAATCTCTTATTGACGTTAAATTATCCTTTAGCGGTCTTACAGAATTATTTTGAATTATGTGGCCCAGATATTTCACTGAATTTGAAGCAAATGTACATTTCTTAAATTTCAATCTAAAACCTTCTTCTATTATTGCATCTAATACATATCTTATATGCCTTATATGTTCTTGAAAAGTTGATGAGTATATTAAAATATCATCAATGTAATTAACAGCATAGCTTGTCAGATTGTGTTTTCGTAGTATATTGCTAAGAATTCTTTGGAAAATAGCTGGTGATGTTTTTAATCCAAATGGTAGACAGGTCCACTGGAAGTGTCCATCTTGTGTTACAAATCCTGTCTTACTTCTATCTTCAATCCGTAATGGTATTGACCAGAATGCTGAATTTATGTCTAATGTAGTAAAGTATTTGCAATTTCTAGTCTTTATTATCAAATCATCTATCAATGGAAATGGTTGGGCTTGTGGCATAATAATTTTGTTTAGTTCTCTAAAATCTATACATAATCTTGATCTTTTATTTTCATCTTTTTTAAATGCTAGTGTCACCGGAGCTGCAAAGGGACTGTATGATTCTTCTATTAACTTATTCTTTAGTAACATTGATATCTGTTTTTCTATTTCTATTTTATCATCAATTGTGCATCGATATGGCCTTTTACTACAGTATCTATCTACTAGTAAATCTATGTGAGCTTCATAATCTTTAACCATACCAACATCATATTTATCTTTTGCAAAGACTGTTTTGTATTCTTTAATTATTTTCTCTATTTCTATTTTCTTTTTGTTGTCTAAATGATTTATTTTAATTTTAAAGTCTTCTACTTCTATGTGTTCGTTAAAATTTATTGAATATGTTTCTTTCATCTTGTCTTGACTTTCTTTATCTTTAGAGATTTTATCAATTTTATTCTGTTTTTCATTTATATCTTTTCTTTTCATTTGTTCTATTTTTAGGTTTTCATTTTGGGTCAATCTAAATTTCTGTATCATATCTAACCCGATTATGAAATCATCAAATTCTTCATTTTCAACTATGTATACATCCACCTCTTCTTCTATTTCAAAAATCTTTATCTTAATTGTTATCAAACCCTCTGTTTTCTTTACACCATTAACCGTTCTCATGTATGCTGTATTCATGTTGTGTTTATTTTCTTTTACTTTGATTAGTCTTGAATTTATTAAAGAGATTTGTGAGCCTGAATCATAAATGCCACATACTTCTAATCTATCTTCTAATACAATATTGATCTTGATTAATGGTGTACTTACTAGTTTTTTTGCTCAGTATTTAAGTCTACTTCTATAATAGAGTTACTATTTACATTTTTTGTTCTAAGTATTTTCTCTTGTTCATTTTTTTTTATATTGAACCAACACGCTTCCTCTGGATGATATCTAATTCCTTTATTTAATTCTTCACATGTTTTACATGACTTTCTTTCCATGGTTTTCATTTTAAAATTTAATTTACTATTTTTTATTACCATAGTATTTTTTCTGTATATCATACTTTCATATTTTCTAATTTCATTGAATAAATCAGTGCTGTCTTTGATTTCTTCTCTGTTTATTTTGTTTAGGATAAAACCTGGGAGACCTGTTGCAATAAGATCTATCAATGTTCTGGAGTCTATAGATTTGTTAATGTCTAATATAAGGCGTTCCTTTTTCATCGCATAATCAATTAATAATCCTTCTTTATATCTGAATGCAAATGCATATGTTACCGTATCCCATCCTCTATTCTTAAATGTTTCCAAAAATTTTTCTTTCCACTCTGTCCAATATGAATTTACTGTCAGTTTTGTGACCATAGAACTATACCAGTCTAAACAAGTTTTTTCTAAAAATAATCTTAATATTTCTATTTTTGTTTCATCTTTTATTATATTAAACCTCACACATTCCTTCTCAAAAGTCTCCATCCATTGAGTTGCATTTGAGTTCCTGCTTGTGAATTTTTCTATAATAAATTTCTCGGATATATTTTTTAAATTGTGATGTTCTTTTTTTCTGTGGATTCCACTAATCTATCCAGAATTTGTTGCAGATTGTTATCTTTTCCTGTTGGTTGTTCTATAGAAATTTCTTCTAAATATTGATCTAAAAATTGGATATTTCCGTCTTCGTCAACATAGGTTTGTTTTTGTTCTTCATTTAATGTTATCCATATTTTCCTAGTCTGATGTCTTTTCTTTAGGCTATTTTTAATCTTTATATAAGTACTCGTCTTTGTAATTTCTTTATGGTTATTTATTGGTTTCAACTCGTCTGGTATCGCAAAACATTTTCCGTCTTCTGTAGTTAGAGAGGTTATGGCTAGTACATTAGATTTGCCATCACTTGATGCTATCACTGTAAATTCAAATTGTAGCCGGTTCATTTTGTTTTTTGTAACAACAAATGTCGTTTTATAATGATATTTTCAGGGTTTCTTTATAAAATAAACTAAAATTTGTTTCTCTGTAAACAAAGAAATGTTTTATTTAATTTTAAACCACTACAATTATTTAACACTGTAATAATGAATCACACATATAACTCACCTGTAAACAAAGAAACGACATTTAAAGTTTATTACAATTATTATTTAACTATTACTGTCTTTTTATAATATATTTTATATAACCTTATTCACGCACACTTGTTTTTTCACGATCCATTTTTATGTTATTTCTATTGACAGCTCCCTTTGACACTCCTTGCAATCAACAGCGCGGAACGCGCCAAAATTTGAATTGTTGAAATATTTAATTATATTATTATAAAGAATTTCTTTATATACATACATATATACTACATATTGGAAGAAATGAGAAAAACCATGTACTATGAAGAGAGATAATAAGATCTTAGTCTATTTTTAAACGATGTTTGTGTTAAGCTGATCGAATGGAGAGTGGTAGAGAGTAATGTAATTTTGTAAGTTCTTCATATAATAATAATCGTAATAATAAAATAACCCTAATAATTCACACATCTAAGCTAAGCAAAGTTTGTGTTAGGATATGAATTAATTATGACATAATTCATTGGGCTCCCTAAAATATGGTCGAGCGCAGTGATGGCTGGCTCATCCGTCATACTCGTGAACGAGTGCTGCTTGTAGGGACTGATCTGCTCTTATCACTACGACTGATTTAATCTTATTGTATATTTATATTTGACCCAAAAAATTGTGCTGGTTGGTAGTTTGTATTCACACGTTTCGACTTGTAAATGTAAACTTACAAGGATTATTTAAAAGAGCTACACACAAGTTTCTTGCTCGTTCTTCTTGTGACGAGACAGCTTTCCGAACGAGCGGTAGATAAAAAAAATGTTATGACTATTCAAAAGTACTTAAATTAAGTTTATTTGAATAAATGATTTTCTGTTCTATTCTTAATCATGACTAACTGACTAAGCAAAACGTTTGCCTAGTCAGTTAGTCATAAAATAGCTATATTATGGTTAGGTAATTGTTGGTTATAATAAAATTCGCGTGGGATTCCTCCAAATGAAGCAATTGGATTGGTTCTCTTCATTTTTATTCCAGTCACGCATTATCCTAATGGAGTGGCAGATGTGTAAGCTTTCGGTTGAAGCTTTTGATGAAAGCTTGTATAATCACGCCGCTCATTAACAATAAGGTGAAATATTCTGAGACACTGTTAACATAGTCACTAATAACTATATTTAGATTAATGTTATAACATATAACATATATTTAGAACGTTGAATATATTAAAATATTATAACATATAACATATATATACATATAACGCAATGATGGCTGGCTCATCCGTCATACTCGTGAACGGGTGCTGCAAAAACTTTGGTCTGGAATGTTTCTTTCATTGATTTCCAAGGTTGATTTTTTCTGAAATCGGTGCAGTCCTTCACGACTTTACTTTCTTTAATTTCATCTTAAAAATATCCTACCTGTATTTTTATCTCTCTGTCTCTCATATTGGACGGCCTCGATGGTCTAGCGGTATTCTTCCGATGGTCATGGGTTCGATTCCTCGCACGGTAGAAACTACAAATAATTGTTTTCATGAGTATGATTGTTTGTATCGGCTTGGATGTTTTCTATTTATATATTTACATAAAAAATGTATCTAAGTCATTACATCAGTTGTCTAGTACCTATAAGACAAACTTTTTATAGCTTGGTACTAGATGTGTGAAATGTCCAGGCATATTAATAATATTATATAAAAATATCACAAAATTCTTTATAAACTCACTAATTAATGTTTTTTAAAGAGATCCAGACATGTGGCGGCGTGGTGGGCCGGGTCATTGGGCTCCCTTAAATATGGTCGAGCGCAGTGATGGCTGGCTCATCCGTCATACTCGTGAACGAGTGCTACTTGTAGGGACTGGTCTGCTCCTATCACTACGACTGATTTAATCTTATTGTATATTTATATTTGGCCCAAAAAATTAGTGTTGGTTGGTAGTTTGTATTCACACGTTTCGACTTGTAAATGTAAACTTACAAGGATTATTTAAAAGAGCAACACACAAGTTTCATGCTAGTTCTTCTTGTGATGAGACAGCTTTCCGAACGAGCGGTAGATAATAAATTGTTATGTCTATTAAAAAATGCTTAAATTAAGTTTATTTGAATAAATGATTTTCTATTCTATTCTATTCTAGATAATTTTTATTTAAATATATTCCATTCAAGGAAACGTTGAAAGAAATATTACACAAACCCTCATTTGGGAAAATTAAATAATCATTCTCAAGGTTACCAGGGTACGTGGAAGATGTAGGGATGCTGGAACTCCGCGCTCACCCGTGATACAACAATTTAGTTATGTCACGATAAGGGTAACGTTGCTTAACCTCGTTAAACGTGAGCACTTGCAAAGTTAACAACGACATTTGACAAGCCGAGACGACATTTCACTTGTACGGAACACACCAGTGACTAATGACTACAAATATATATTCCCGAGTTACACTGTACGAGATGCAATAAAACGGGTTGGTTTGTTTTAATAAGTACATTGACAGGCAATTGTCTCTTATCTTTTCAACTAAACTGTTGACGACCTCGGTGGTGCAGCGGTCTAGTCGCGGGTTCGATTCCTCATATATTTGTATTCATGAGTATCATTGTTTGTATCGGTCTGGGTGTTTTCTATGTATAATATGTTATGGATGATAATGGAATTGTGTTCCCGCCTGCGCTAACGGTTTACGCTGGCGCGGCACCAGTGGAGGCTGATAAGATGAACATGAGGTCAGGTCAGTTAGCCCATCATGACAAATTCACCAAGAATTTATTACGATGGTTTCCAGGGGGCACCGCGTGGAGGTCAACCTGATATGGTACATTGCTAGTAATGGGGTTATGAGTATACATTACTAGCAATTCCCGTATTTACAAAAAAAAATATCTATGTATATGTATCAGTTATCTAGTACCCATAACACAAGTTTAGCTAGCTTAACTTGGGTCTAGATGGTGCTGTGTGAATTGTCCTGAGACTATTATTATTATTATTATTAAAAACACTAAATTTTAGGCAATATCCTGATAATTGTCTCTCAAAAAAACTATATACTTGTATATCATTATATATCATATTTAATACATCATGGCAGGTAGCAGTCAGTAGTGTAACACCGAATAGAATCGAAAATAATTTATTCAAATAAACTTACATTGAAGCACTTTTGAATAGTCATCCTTTTTTTTAATCTACCGCTCATTCGGAAATCTGTCTCGTCACAAAAAGAACGAGTAAGAAACATGTGTGTTGCTCTTTTAAATAATTGTTGTAACTTTACATTTTTAAGTTCAAATGTGTGAATAGAAAATACAAACTAACGCTAATTTATTAAAGTCAAAATATAAAATACACAATCAATTGTCTAAGTAACTAAATAAGATTAAATCAGTCGTAGTGGTAAGAGCAAGCCAGTCCCTACACAGCACTCGTTCACGAGTGTGACGGATAGAGTAGGGAATCAAAATTCCAAAAATATATAAATAGAAAAAAAAATTGGAACCACTGCAACTTTTTATTACATAATTTGTACGTGTTTGATCTTACTTGATGTTAAATGAACATGCTAATGTTTATGTTGTTACACTATTACCGAATTACTAATATTCTTTCATTGTTTCTATGATACATCATCCAGAGTAAATAAATGTCATAATGCATTGTTTATATAAACAAAACTAGTTATATCTATGACACCTTGCTAAAGTTATGAATTAAGAAATAAATATTATATTTTTTAAACGGCTGGATCGTAATGGCGATCGCCGACGAACTTGGGGCCTTGAGCCGCCTCTTTCTCCTGCGACGTTCTGCCGCTGCCTTCTTTGTTGCCGCGCTCTGTTGTGAAGCGGCAGCCAACTCAGCGGTGGTCTGCTGAGTGGCGGGGGCCGACTGGGCATTCGCCGTCCGGGACTTCTTGCCACGCCGCACTAAGTCTAAAAGTGAATAAAGTAAATTTATTTACATTTATAATACATCTTAATCTTTTTTTTTTTTTAAGGTCTACAAAACTAGATGTCTTATATAGTACATAACTTAATACACATAAAACAAACTATTTAAGTAACACATCCTTCTAGATGTAGACACAGCATGCATAACTTAATTTTTACACACACAAAATGACACTATACAATAATAATTTGCATTAATAGAGAATTATTTTATAAAGCTTTCTTGTATTTCAAGAAAATTACAATTTAATGTCCGTTTAATATTACTGACTGATGCACCGAAAATATCAAATATGTGTCTGACATTATTATAATTCTCACTCATTCGATATACCGGGGAGTATTTGCCATAGTATATATCTTATAAACGATATACTGTCTTACTAATATTATAAATGCGAAAGAAAGTATGGATGTTTGTTACTCTTTCACGCAAATACTACTGAACGAATTTTGATTAACACATAGGCTATTTTCATGCGACAAAAAATATATTAGCTAATTTATTTCAATAGCCAGCTGATGTCACTAAAAGTTTACATAACCAGTAAGTGGGGCGATTGTGATTGATCGACATGTCAAAAACTAATATTGGATCTTTTTTATTTAATTTGAATGGCAAAAGTGCCTGCAAATGGTAAACGTGATACGTTTATAAGTGAATAGCACTACGGACTTCACGTTATCATGTGACACGTGTGGTTACCCTGAGGGGTTTACAATTTCTTGTTGAGATTCGTATGTTAGTTTATGAGACGTGTGCAGATTTTGGTAGGTTGTAAATTAAGTAAATTTTCGTTATATTATGTCTAAATATATATAACTCAAAGGTGACTGACATAGTGATCTATCAACGCACAGCCCAAACCACTGGACGGATCGGGCTGAAATTTGGCATGCATAAAGCTACTATAACGTAGGAATCCCCCAAGAAAGGATTTTGATAAATTCCACTCCTAAGGGGATTAAATAGGGGATGAAAGTTTGTATGAAACTTTGCCAATTTTAAACCGATCGGGCTGAGATTTTGCATGCATAAAGCTACTATAACGTAGACATCCGCTAAGAAAGGAAACTAAAGTAAAGCCGCATAAACTAATTTAAAATTAAAAATAATACCTCTTAACGCGAGCGAAGCCGCGGGCAAAAGCTAGTCATATATAATTATTAATGAATAGAGAAT